GTTGGTATGTGTGTAGGCACAGTCCCGACGACCCAGAGCCAGTTATGCTCCTCCTATAATAACACTACGTGGGAGCAGGGAAAGTGGATTATACCCTCCTCTGGCTGGTGGCTCTGCTCAAAGACAGGCCTCACTCCGGCCCTATCCACCTCTGTGTTCAATGCTAACAGTGAGTTTTGTGTGCTGGTGGCCCTTCTACCTCGCCTAATGTATCATTCTCATGAATCTCTCCTTTCTTATTGGGAAGAAAGGCTGAGCCCCCACCGGAGCAAGAGAGAGGTTGTTACCGCCCTGACCATTGGGACCCTCTTCTCCCTAGGGATAGCAGGGGCAGGCACTGGGATCGCAGCCCTTGTGACGCGGGAAAAAGGGCTCACAGCCCTGAGGCTGACAGTCGACAGGGACCTAGAACAGCTCCGACAGTCAATATCAGACCTGGAGCAATCCCTCACCTCCTTGTCAGAGGTGGTCCTACAGAACCGAAGAGGCCTGGACCTCTTGTTCTTAAAAGAAGGTGGGCTATGCGCAGCCCTAAAAGAAGAATGCTATTTCTATGTAGATAAGACAGGTGCAGTCAGAGATTCCTTAGCCAAACTAAAAAAAGATCTTGACAGTCGGCGTAAAGAATAAGAAAGCAGCAGCAGCAAAGGCTGGTTTGAGTCTTGGTTCAAGCACAAGCTATGGTTTGCTACCCTCCTCTCGGCCGTTGCAGGGCCACTGGTCGTCCTGCTGTTGTTGCTTACCATCGGCCCGTGTGTAATAAACAGGCTGCTTAAGTTTGTGCAGGAGAGGTTTGACACCATCCAACTCCTGGTCCTTCGCCAAAAATATCAGGCCCTAGACACCACTGCGGAAGATTCCTTAGTCTGATCAAGAAAAGGGGGGAAATGTAACGGAGTGCAGAGAGCATCAAGTCAGGAAAAAGAACTAATGACACTTAACCTGACTGCCTAGAGCGAGAGCCACCCAGTCTTTTCTTGTGTAAATTACCCGAGACTTCTGAGAAATGCTCCTACCCTAAGTTAGATAACTAGAAGTGGGCAACAGCCTGGGAACGCCTGGGGATGTAACCCGTGATAAGTCACATAGACATGCTTGGGTAAGCAAGAGATAACAATTGAAGCGGGCAGGCAACTGGCACGTTCCCTAAAAAGGTTACAATGTTTCCCATTGGTTACAATATAGAGTGTGTTTTAAACTTATCAGTTGTAGAACTGCATGGGCTTTGATGTAACTGCTGTGAAGATCCTATATAATCAATACCCAAAGTTGCTTCGGGGTCGGCAGCTCGGACTTGGCTGCGTGTCAGGGGAGGTGCTGTCGACCCCAGCTTGCTGGCTGAATAAAGACTTTGCTTGGATTTTCATCTCCGTGTCCGTGTGTCTTGTTCTCTGGGAAACCCTGGAGTCCTAGAACCTAACAAACAAAATGCACAAGATTCAGTAGGGCAAATTACTTTGACCCCAGTCTACCCTGCTCTGTGGCTGCCATCTGTTTATTAGCACTTGCCCTACCTTGGCTGCATAGGTCTTAGTGTCCCAAGCTGTGGCGG